AAGCAGACAAACAGGGCAAATTTTCAGTCAGCCACTCTATTTGTATCTAACTTCACCAATTATGTCACCTCCTCTTACCAAGAAATAAAGCAATTTCTGCTTGTAGAAAACGCTTATTTCTTATCTTCAAATCATTACAGCTCAACACAACTACCACTGAAGTGGACAAGTGGTTTATGCTTTAATTTGTGCAAAAATAATCAATTTAAGCCCTGGAAGAAACAAAGGTTTAATTAACCAGATTAATATCTTAAGATGTAAAACGGTCGATAACAATAGTGAAATTAGACATTTAGAAAGGAACTACTACACATGCGTTAATGAATACCTCAAAACACATTAGTAAAGTCGTGCCAGCATGAAAAAATACCCCTAAACACTTTGTGGAGTGTGTTTTTCTTAGCCAGCTCCCTCATGGCCACTAACAGGGAATTCAGTCCCTCCTACTCTGACAGTGAAATTTAGCATCAATACCAGCTTCTGGCTGGGGAGTTTTCTGATGACTGTCCCCATACTCTGTAGGTAGCCAGCTCCTTCCAACCTCTTTGAGGTTATTTCAATTTCTATGAATAATATTGCCTTTTTCCGAGTTCTGCTGTGTTATTCCTGACCATCACAAAGGCTAAACACAACTAGTTACTACTGCAGGAGCATCGCAGTTGTTCAGTTCAGAGTCTGTGCCATGCTTTCACACTGCCAAAGTACCCTAGTAGGGTTTCACTAGTCCCTGAGATCCCCTCCCGGCTTTCTGAGTCCCTGTTCAGGTTTCCTTGACTGCCAGCATCCACAGGTCATTCTTCTCAAGCAAGAAAAATAAGGACTCCTTCCATTTAGCCTCATAAATACCCATGCACACACTCAAAGGGATCAGGCTGCTAGCTCGGCTATGGGACTAGAGGTGATTTTCAAGCCCAACCACATCTCCCTGCCTTTTATCTGCACAAATCCACTTGTCTGAACTCTAACTGGAGTTTCATTTTTATCACCAACCAGCTGGGAACTAATCACAAGGACTTCTAACTAGTCCTGCTCCCTTTCCAAGCATATGGAGCCAATTAAGTCAAACTGCAGCTGATTTTAATCAATCTTCCTTGAAGCAGCCAAACTTGAAGAATCTTTCCTCCTTCAGCTCAAAGAGTAGAGGAGAGCAGGAAAAGCAGGAGAGTAGTATTTGCATAAGGAACACTTCACATCCGCTTCCTTGCCTGCAAACACAGGGCTTCTAGCAGTAAGAAATGCTAATTGAACACTCCTCATGAGTCTTTCCTCCCACTTTATCTAAAAAGCACTGATTTGATCAGTCTCTTGTTCCTGCCACCGAGCTGCACTTTTCCACCAGCAGCTCTGGAAGATGGGACACATCATTTCAGATAACTAACCAAACCCAACCTTCCACTGAAGTCTCAGCAAGTCTGCCCACCCTAGGCCAAGCACTAACAGTGTTTTTTGCTTCGTGGAAAGAAAGGAGAGGAGAGAAGATAAAATTGTCTGGTTAAAACCACTCTTTTTACAAATTATTTGAATCCCCCTCCTGAGCCACAGTTCAAATCCTGGGCAATGGGGAAGGCACCCTCAGCAGGGTGTCACTTCTCCACAGTTTCAACATTTCTTGTGTTTTTATAATCTGAAGTTTTTACTAGCCGTAAAGACCTGACCGGTGAGTAATATCCATGCTAAGATCTTTATACCAGTGAAGGAAAATCAATGCAGCCTGCAGCTAGGTGTCAAGAGCCAAGAGGTTTATGGAAGAAGGGGTGTGTGGATGTGGAAAGAGCCTTAAGCCATAACTCAAGCTGTCCCTACACAAGCAAAGGATACAAAGAGATGTCAGATGTCATACACACTGCTGTGGATAGCTATCAGGATCTTGGTTTATTTATCTGCTAATACTCAGCTCAAGAAGTGTGAATTACACACATAACACCAAAGTACCTTCCCACCTGCTCGCTTGCACTGCGGCCAGTCCATCAGGGTCCTGTAGTTCACATAGTCACTAGCAGTAGCAGCAGAAACAAGCAACACACGTGTGCCAATACCCAGATACAAAAGGATGAGAGAAGAGGCAAATTTGAAACTTGACTCCTTTCCACACATCAACACAGTCAAACACTGACGTTTAATCACCAAATACTGGCTGCATTTCCTTCAATTTCCTTCACCACACACAGCTTTGTGAACTCCACAGGCTTCAGTCCAGTGTAAAGCAGTCGAAGCTTTACTTCTACAACCTGCCTCTTCCTCTTCCAAATTCACTTTAATGCATCCCTTCTATGTATCTTTCAGGTAGTAGACACAATTCCAGAAAGCCAGAGGTTTTATTTTCAAATAGAAGGAAGTGCAGATATAGATTTGTCAGAAATCACCCTCATCCTGCCTTACTTTTTCTTACATCTGTATTTGATGTGATGCCATGCTTTCCCCAGGTTTGTAATTCCAATCACCTTTCTGTTCAGAAGAATTTTCTTGCTTTCTGTATGTAAGCTTTGTCTTGTTTTTTCTTCCCTTGGTGATAAAGTGAGATTATTTTAACCCAACACTTCCCAGTGATTTCTTTCAGAGATGGGAACGAGTAACATGTCAAACTAGCAACATTTCAGTGACCTTATCTGAGTGTACAATAATATTTTCAGTGTATTTGCTCTGCACTGATAGAAGACGTGGGTTTCTATGCTTGTCCTTAATTTAGTGTGTTCCCACTGTAAGGAACCTTCTTCCAAAGTGTTTAGAAAAGTCATTCTAAGCTTGGCTTGTCATGATATTTGACTCTCAAGGTGAATAAAAAATGGCTGATGTTTTTGTCTCTGAGGAGCTCTGAAATCTTGACCATTCCAGCGGGTACACACTGATCAATACTTACATTTTAGTGGTGAGCTTACGTATTCCTTTATTTACACTTTCCTTTCTACCCCTCCTCTTTTGGAGAAGCTGTTTGTGGCATCCAGTCTTGCAAGACACAAGTGAAGTGAGAAGCTAAGGAAAGGGGGAGCTACCTCCTGTTAAATAAAGAATGAAAGCCACGTCCTCAGCCTTGGCAAAGTAGATGTAAGGGCATGGTTACCTTAATTCAGGTCCCTAACCCGCCTTTTAGGGGACTGGCAGATTTCCCTTTCCTAGACCTGCTAAACCAGATGACCACTTTTCTTCTCTTTTTCCACACCTACATGTTATCTCCTCCTTCCCATATAATTTTCTCTCTGCTCTATCTGCAGATACTTGTCCACAAAGCCCTGACCTGCACAGTACCACATTTAACCAGTGAGCACCGTTAATGAGACAGGTCATGGGGATCCTGTGAGAAGCCTTCCAAGCCTCTTTGGTGACCAGTACAACTGTTACTGTACTGTAGCTTTAATACAGAACGAAGGTCCCATCTTGCTCCTATCACCACATTACTGTTCTATACTGTGAAAGCTCAGCTATTCAGACAGCAGCTGATGATGGCCTCCTCTACCAGAAGGCAGACAATTTGCAAGACTACTCTGAAGACTTCAGACCTTTCCTCTTTGAATGTGCAATTTGAAAAGCTTGGGTGTTTTGGCATCTCAGAAGCAGCATGAACAAAGCATTGCATCTCGAGACAGCACAAATAAAATAGAGAATTCCTCTGGTCAGGCCTTCTTGGAAAGCCAGCAGCCGTGGTAAGACAACACAGGCAAATGAAACGTGACCTTAGTGAATCGTAATGTGCTCTGAAGCCAAAGCTGCTGTTATGTTTATTGGAGACATAAGCATCCAAACACCAGCCCAAATCTTTCCTGCTTGTCCGATGACTGAAACCCAATTAAAGGAGCCCGGTGACAGGTTTCACACTAAGCGTGGCTCAGCAGAGATGCTCAGCAGCTCTTAGCTCTCTGCTTTATCAAAGCTGTCACTTCCCCTGGCTCGAGGAATTGGTAATAAAAAAAAAAAGGGAAAAAAGATTTGATTCGCCTCTAATAGGTGTCAAGATAAAATCAATGCTCTGTCTGCAATGTGGGGAGTTTCAAACCTGCAGGTTTTCCACCATGAAGCAATTTACACAAAAATGGGGGAAAGAAATAAAGGGAGAAAGAAAGAAAAATTAAGAGACTGAAATGCTACAATGCCAAATTGTTCAGCATATCAGAGAGAACAGAAAGGAGAGATAACACTGCTCATAGCAGGATGGGCTTTGATTAAACAAAAATGCTCAGGTTTTTATTTGCTCTAGTACCTTTCAAACAAGAAACACTATAAAAGCTTGAAACAACTCTCATGTCCCTGCTCTGCATAGGGGAGCTGTTCCCTGAATGTGAGCAAGCTGAACAGACAGTCCACTCTCAACTTGCCCCCTTCAAGGACAGTGAGATTTCACAGATCTATGCAGAGTGAAAAGCTGAAGACCTTCAGCCATATAAGACAGCACTACCTCTGGAACAGCTAAAACACCCATAGTGGCACAGCAAAGGAAACACACCCTTTTGTCCTTCTGACTCCACACCTTCTGCTCTTCGTGTCTGTGGTCTGGAGATGTGCCACATTATCCTCTCAACAGCGCTGATGCTTCCTGGCTTGGAAAACTGCTAAATAATGAGGCCACAGACTGATGGTCACTGTCTTTATCACTGATAGCAGCATTGGAGTCTTCAGTATGAATGGAGCTTGAATTTCCATATCAGCTCCATGCTTTTAAGCCCAGTCTACACTCCTGCTTTGGCACAAATGAATTTGCACACAGACAACTTACAGTAGTGGAGTTACTTAAAATGGAAGTTTTTAAGGCCCTAAGAACAGAAAGAAAAGGTTCTAGGCAGGGGCATTAAAAAAGATAACTGCACTTATGTGACTGACATCAAAATACTCCAAAACCATGGTCAGAGGTAGAGGTGTGTTGGTGCAGTTTGTATAGGCTTCTGGTGCCTTGCCCAGACTGAGGGAAGTGCAGTCATGTGCTACGAGCATTCTGGTGTATTTGTTAGAACAGCTACAGTGAATGGACCATGTCAGGCTCTCCAGCTGCTCTGGACCTCCACATTTCCTACCTGCACAGTTAGCTTCTCCAGTTTCATTTCCAGAGATCTGTTCTGCTCTTCCAGCTTGCTGCGTTCAGCTTCCAGCTCCTCAATTTTCTGCCTGGAGAAGAAGGGAAAGTTAATGACACTGTGTCCCTGCACAATCCCACCATAAATCATCAAGCAAAGCATGAAATCACAAGCAATATCAGACTATTATCTAGTACCACAATGCTACACGACCGAGGCAGTTAAAACATATGACTAAAAGATACAAGTCTGCATGATGAAAATATAATTTGTAAAAGTATATTAAAAATATACAACTTGAATATAAAGCAAATCCAACTTGGATAATTCCTGAACCACAGACTGAGTCTAGACCATCACGTTTAATAACTACCAACAGCTAAAATCTCCATGAGTGCATCAATTCTCTTTTTGATCTGATTTATACTCTTGGCCTTCACAACACTCCCTGGCAGTAAGTTCCACAATTAAATTATGTGCTGTATGAAAATTTAGTTCATTTTGGTTTATACTTCACATGTGATTATTTCACTGAGTGCCTCTTAGTTCTGCTACGAAAGGTACCGAGCTCCCCTCTCCATACCATTTTACTGACCCCCTCTGTTATTTCCTGAAGAATCTCAATTTAGTCTTTCCTCACATCAAGGATTTTCTGTATTTTTCCTCATCTTTACTGCCCTTCCTTGTTCTTCTTCAGGTTTTACCCAGACTTTTTGCTATGAGAAAAGCTAGAGCTCCAAACAGCACTCAGATGCATTCAGTGGTATAATGAAGCTTTCTGTTTTGTCCTTGTCTCCTTTTCTAATAATGCCTGGGTATTCTATTTGTCTTTTTAACTACAGAGCACTTACCTGGTATTTTTAGAAAACTGTTCACAATAAAGTAAGATCTCCTTCTTGAGTAATAACAGCTCATTTGGAGCCCAGTACTGAGAGAGGAAAAGTAAAGATATTTTCTCCTATTTGCATGGGTTTTGCAATTATTGACGTACAACTTCATTTCCCATCTCGAGTCGAATCATAAAGTTCTTCTGAAGCCCTGAGCAGTTTGATAAGCTGAATAATTCCATATTATCTCAAATTCTGTCAGCTCACTACTCACAAATTCCAATTTGTGTTGGACAAGTTCCCAATAAAAACCATCCTAGCAACAGTGGGACCCCCTCCGTATTGGGGCAACAACATCTACTCTTTGATTTTCTATCTTTTAAGTTCATACCACATAAGCAAATTAACGGAAGAAAAATGCATGAAGCTTCATAGAATAAAAAGACATCATATCATCTCTGGCTCAGGAAATCCTGGAGACAAGGCACTAGAAGCTAGGAGAGCCTTTTGGCAAAGCAGTTTGGCTTCATTCACATGGTCAGCCCCCACCAGCCATCCCTGCAGAGAGTACACCGGACAACCAGCCCTCAGTGGTTGCTATACTCCTATTAATCCAACAAAGAACCTTCATTCATATTCCATAAAGTTCCTTTCTGATCTTTGGCTCAATGCTTTTTGAAAGGTCAAATATATCCTATCAACCATACCAGCCTTAGCCAAAGGATTGTTGATTCCTTCAGAGAACTCTATCAAACGTGTTTGGTTGGAGATATTATTATAGAACATTCAGTGTAACATTTCTCTTTGTGTTTAAGTACAGGGTACTTAATGCTGCTCCGAGAACCTCACCTTTCACATGTAAACTGTGCAACTGATGGAGATTAACACTGATCTTTGCACTGAACTTTCTTAGATTAAGAATTTATCATCTTGTTTGATAATACTGACTTGTAAATGACCTAAATTAAGCTGAAAATCCCAGCACCCATCTGCCAGTATCCCAGCATTCCGCAACAGAAATTTCAGGTCCAACAAAGAGGTTGTCTCTCCCCTTCAATGGGCAAAAGTTCTAAACTTTTCCATAGGAGCTGGTTGATCCACAACATGTTCAGCACGGAAATGTCTCCTTTAGAAACAAGCAGCTTCAATTGCTTAAATGATTCGTAAGCCCGACCCCTACTGGTAATTTTCATATATTAGAAAGTATCAGCTTTTTTTTACTCTTGGAAGCTTCTAAAATGCCAAGGAGCAGCTTTTGTCATTGTCCAAGACATTAAAAAAGACCATCAATTATTTCCAGAAGAGACACACAAAACTAGTGGGGATGGAGGATGCTGGAGAAGCCAGAGACTGAAAAGGTCGGAAGAAATGGAAATTCAGAACGGAATGAATGTTTTTAACAGCATGTTTCTAAATGCATTGCAGAACAGGACACAAGAAGAACAACATTTTTCTCTGAGAAACAATAGTGCAGCAGCTACCGAAAGGTCAGAGCCAGACACAGGACTCTCATCAGGACTTTCTTCATACTTGACATGCTGAATTTTAATGTAGAACAAATTCCTCCCCATCCAACCTCCCAGGTAAGACGTGACGTTGCCGCTATTTGCCTGCAGAACTCCTCTCCATGTGGAGGTTTAAGCTCAAACCTCTTAAGATGCCTTTCGAAAGTCATTCGTAACAGTCTCCAGAAGACACTTCACAAAGATGTGAGTGAGCTGTAGCAAGGGTGGGTTTAAGTCATTATACTGTTGTGCTGTTTTGCCTCCTATTTTAAGATGTAATAACTGGTATCCTCCTTTCCAGAGGTTGTGTGCCAGGGAAAGGCAGCCCACTGAGGCACAGCGAGTGCCTTTCCACACTGCCTTGGCTCTGCTCACCTTCAGAGACACAACTTGCTGCTTGCTTCATGCTGAGGACCAGGACCAGTGCTGTAGCCTCTTAGTACCAGAGAGGTTCTTGGGACTGACTAGTGCCTTCACTACTTCTCCCTCTTCTATTTTTAAAACTGTTAAGTGTCCTGGATCTCCAGTGGGAAAGCATTAAGAACCATTAGCAAACAGTTTGTGCTATTCCAGCTTTGCTTTCCAGCCCTGGGGAGCTCTTCCCAATGGCAAAGAGAGGGAAGCAAGGGAAATCCTATCTATATATAAACACAGCAAAGCATTTGCAGCTGGTGGTTAAGATACAGTAGTCAAATATTGAAAAATATTTACTTGCTTGGCACTTGAATCTCTTCATTTACATAAATTCAGGTACAAAGCCAACTGTGCGCTGCTTTGGATGCAACAGCATCCACAAAGGCAGCTGCAGTCTGCACACACCTCATGCTCTCTCTGTCCAGGGACATCCACACAAGGTGTGTGATGCTATTTTATCACCAATTTGCATGCCTCAACTTGTGACACTTGGGAGTTGCTTTTAGGTAGGGAGAACAATCCCAGATAAATGCATGTGAGAACCACAAAGAGCTACAGGAACTACACAAACCACAAACTACAGAAACATCTGCTTACAGATATAAGGAAGAAATTCTTTACTATGAGGGTGCTGAGGCGCTGGCACAGGGTGCCCAGAGAAGCTGTGGCTGCCCCATCCCTGGCAGTGTTCAAAGCCAGGTTGGATGGGGCTTGGAGCAAGCTGCTCTAGCGGAAGGTGTCCCTGCCTGTGGCAGGGGCTGGAACTGGATGAGCTTTCAGGTCCCTTCCAACCCAACACAATCAATGATTCTATGATCTAACAGCTTAACATCTGGCCCAGAATGGATGCTGGTGCCCATTTTAAAAACAGCCTTGCAGCACAAGGCAAGAAGAAACTTTCTGAAATACTGACACCATTCTTAAGGTTTATGATACAGGGAAATATAATTTGGATTAATTCCTGGAAAATTTACCACCTTCTCCATACAGGTGCTGGAAAACATGAAAATATTTAAACTCCAGCAAAGATCTCTGCATTTCTGGAAGACTCTTCCTACATCAGATACAGAAGCTTAATCCAGAGTTGAAGGCTCCACAGGCACAACACAAATTCAAGCCACCCCCATGGCCTTGCGGGAGACCAAATCTAGTGCAAGAACACAGATTCACTGCTGTTTGCCCAAACTTGTGGATCTTCCTGCTTTAAAAACTGAGCTTTATATTGCCTCCACTGGATGTGTCACTGTCCCACATCAGAAGAAGGAACAAAAGAAAACAACCCTACAGCCTCAGGTCTCCTGAAATGACACTTGTGAGAATCAGGAGACATCACACTGTGCGTGTTTAGTCTATCTAAAAAGCATTTAGATGGTGAGCAGGGGCTGCCAGACAGAAAAGCTGCTCCTACTTTAGAAAGGAAGAAGGGTTTCAACGGCATCTAGGCACTATCCCAAAATCTCTCTCAGTCCAGAGCTATTCAGTGCAGTTAACCAATGACAATTCCCTGCCATGACTTCCTTTTATTATCTTTTATTGGTTTTTAATGTTCTCAGATGTGTGCTCTGTGGTCTCCTGTAGAGCAGTGTGGATATCGCCCATGAGGACATGCCTCACAGAGGCCCCATCTGCAAAGAGGACATGGCCATGTGGAAAAAGCTATTGGTGAACAGGAAACTAGTGAATGGAGCAGAAAATGTATGTGTTGGGAAGACGCTATTAAGGGATCCAGATGGCATTGAGATGGTGTTAGGAGCAGAGCAGACAGAATTCCAGCAAGTGTAACTAATGGGCATTGGCAAGGACATGAATTTCTTCTGAATTACTGTAACCCTCCCCAGTCACTAAATCCCCAGAAAACATTTAGGATTTACTGGGGTTGTAGTTTGACAGCAGAAAGAAGAAGTTCAGATTTGTTCCAGCTGAAAAGGTCCTTCAGCTCGTGCCACTTAAGTCTTGAATGAAGCTCTTTTTAAATACATTCCTTTTATTTATAGGTTCTGAAATAGGAGTTACTGCACAGTTATCACCTTCCCCCTAAAAGGTGCTAATGCCTAAATGCTCTCTGCTTTGCTATACCCCACAGTGCATGAACTCAACAGTTCAACCACTTTTTCTCTTCGTAAGATCTGCAGAATATAAACAAATCTGATTTCGGAGGGAGCAGCAAGAAGTGTGAGAAATGACAGCATTAGCACCAGCTTTTATTGTCTCTTCAGAAACGATGATGCTGGGGAGAGAGTTTCACATTTAAAGCTATAAAAGGGCTGACGAAAGAGCACTTTGTTCTCAAGAGAAGGAGGAAAAACTGATAAAGTCTTTCAAGTCTCTTGCTGAAAATTTACTTTCCATACTAAAGAAAAATGAGACAAAAGATGTGTTTTTAAAAGCTCTCATTCACTCACAGGAGGTGAATACAGATTCAAAGGATTAATATGGATTTTTTTCCACCTTTATGTCTCTCCTGCTTTTGTTTTCAGAAGTAAGCTTCTAACCCAAGGGGTATATGAGGAAATGCCTGGAGGCTCCCAGACCATTCCTGCTCTGCTGAATCCCCTCACTGACTTCTGCTGGTTTTCCTCTCTTTTTCACATTCCTTCATGACAGCAGCCAACTGGAGAGGCTGGGCTCAGTCCAGAACAGCAGAAACATCATACCGTAAGTTAATGGGATTTTGAAGACCACAATAAGCTACAGAAATGGAAATAACTCCCTCATAAGCTGTGGCATTTCTTTTCCCACTTTCCAATTTGAAAGTTGCATTCTTCCCTGCCTTCTGACGGAATTAATTGCTGGCAGTGGTCTCTAGAAGGAAGAAGTAATAGCAGAGCTTGTGTTGCCCATTCCTCCTTAGCAGCTATGTACAATTGAGTAAACCAGTCCCATTGAGGCCCACAAAGACACAGCAGGACAAGCACAGCAGACCTAATCCCTTCCCATACTAATCTTTATTCTCCTCCAAACCCCTTCTGTTCTTTCACCACAGCTTTCCAATTCACCTCTGCTATACAGACAGGACACATCCAGCTGAGCCCTAAGGAGTCTTCTGGTGTGGACCACAGCACATTATTCCTGAAGCCCAAAAGCCTTGGGGACGATAGTGATTTATCTTGTGCTCCTTTGAGAAAGAGCCTCTTCTGTAAAGAAAGAACTTGGCCCTGTTTTTTTGTCCAACACACAGAAAATGCCAGAAAACACACAATAAGACCCAACCATACCCTCTGACTGCTTATGACCAGAAGCATAAGGAAAAAAGTCTTTACACAGTTGATTCTGCAAAGCTGAATTGAATTCCTGAGAGTCTAAAATGACACCTGAAGCAGTAATAGTAGCAAACAGTAAAGCAAAAGGAGCAGGGACTGGTTTACCATTTCTCCAGCAGAAAGAACACTTTGCACCAAGTCATTTACTGTTAGAGCTCAGCAATGAAAAGGGTGCTTAAAACCAAAGAAATCCATGCTTTTGCAACAGCTTTGTAGCTAAATGACTAGCACCAGGGCCTGGACAAATAGTTAAATCAGCCGTAACAAAAGAAAGTGGTTCAGTAAAAAGTGACAGAAAAAACCAGCCTGGAATTAGATCCTGGGACTGTGGCCCCTGTGCATCCACATTCAGCACCATCCTCAAGAGCATGGTACTGAAATGAGGGAGAGAAGAAAAGACAAAATATCACCACGAAACAACTGCAGCAGCTTAGCCTCTTTGCTGAAAGAGCTTTCAGTGCGCAGCTCATCACTGGAATGCAGCTCTGCACCATCAATGGCTTTTTGTGTGAAAGGTTTGACACGATTTCATGAAAGGAGGAGATTAGTAATCAAAGAAATTCTTTGAAAACGAAGAGAGAAAAACATTATCTGAGGGAGTTCAGGGCTACCTTTGAGCAGAACCAAACACCACAATCCCATAACAAGGAGCTCTGCTTCCCCGGGCCCAGGAAACACATTTTCATTCAGGGCAAAGCCAGACATCTCTATCCCCACTGTCAAGAGACTTCCACAATGCAGAGTGGTCCTGGACTATGTGGCAATCCAGCTGTTTCCCCCTCCACACGCTGTCCCTGGAGCCGCTCAGTTAATAGATGGCAAGTGCTGCTCAGTGGAGATAAACACCAAATAATGAGTCTTGGAGGTGAAAATAAAAGGGACTAAACACCTCCTACATGAAAGGGTGCTGCAGCTCAGACCAACCCAGGGAGGGAGGGAGAGACTGACGAGGTACAGGAGAAACACTCTGAAAACCTTCAGCTCCCAGAAGACAGCAAACAGGATGCTTGCTTTACTGATATGGAGACACAGCATTAATCAGAAGTGACGGGTTTAATGTTGCTGAGGAGGTGCTGAATGCTTCTGCAGCAGTATAAACATCAGGTTTCAGAGGGTCTAATGCGCCTTAGCAAATGAAAGACCTGAATGAGCTCAGGTCAAACAAACATGCCCAGAAGCAGATGGAGACAGGTTTATCTCCCTGAAAAAGGGAAGCCATAGCATACTATCCTTTACCAGAAATCAAACAGAGGATGGAATAAAAAAGGGAGATGTATGCCTTGGGTCTCCAGAACTATTCAACCACCTTGAAGAAAACTACAGGAGTCCTGAAGATGAGGTGTACAACCCTAAAAGGTATTGGAATAGCTTAGCTGAACATGTGTTATTACCAAACACCTCCCCTCTGCTATGGAACTGGGCTTTCCAAGCCATAAAAGAAGCTCCAGAGGCAAAGCACAGGAGCAAAGTCATAATGTACAGGCCAGTAATTTCTGCCTTCTGTAAGATTCTGCTTGCTGCAAACTCCTGCTTTCAGTCGTATGAGGCAGTAAAGCTTTATAGGGATGGAACTGAAAATACAACAGAATTAGGAAGTGAAACTCCAGCCGAAGTCTTACATCAACTCAGAATAAAAACCTCAGCCTGTCAAGATCTGATTTGCTCAACTTAAATAAAAGGAACTTTATTAAACATTCAGAATCAGATGAACTTTTCTGTGCTCAGTATTTATTGTGTCACCTGCTTTGGAACGGAAGCTGCAAATGCTTTAATAAATACATGGGAAGGTTGTCTAGCTTCACTGTAGCTTTTGTAAATGCTCATGTATCCTCTGCTGAAATGCTGTTTTGTAACTTCTCTTTCACTGAATCACAACAGGTATCCCTCTGCCAGCTACAGCAATGCACAAGGGGAAACATCCCTCTTTTATCTCCAGTGCTACACGCACATCAGTATTACAAAAGCTGGATTCTAAGTCTCTTCACACACATGCCAACAGATCCTGTATTTACAGTCAAGATTTGGTCAAAATAAGAAACAAACAGCAATGCTGTTTCCACACAAAAGAAAGTCAACAGTGGGAATAGTGATGCAGGAGCCAGCCTTATGAATTAACTGAGAGCAAGAGACCCCAAACACTGAAAGAAAGGAGCCTGCAGCCTCCCAGAAGATAGAAAAGCTTATAAAGTATCTAAATGCAGGAGAGATCAGGGGCTGAGGCTTTCTGTTAATGCTTCATGGATTTCTCATGTCCATAAAAACTGTCGGGAAAGTAAAAAGTGTGCTTGGGGAAAACATATCTTACTTGAGAGATGCAAGGACAGTATGTTCTGACTGTGACATGTAGCACCTAGTGCTCTATCATGACATGGCAATAACCAAAGCAAGCAGTGAAAACATGCCTGGGGGTATTTCCTTTCTCATTAGCTCCACTGAAAACCACAGAATCTTCTGAGTCTTCCCTGTGCTTTGCCTACCTTAATGTGTCAATCTCCTCCTTGGTAACGATGGTACTTTGCTCTGCTGTGCACTCTTGAGACTTCAGGATTTTCATCTCCACCTCCAGCTGCAGAAGAGAAAAGGCATTAGTTCCTCCAGGAGTAATAAGGGGCACACACAAACAGCAAGCGGAGGGGGAGATGTTCCACACAGATCAGGCCTTTCCCAGGATACAGATGTGAAGCACAGTCCTCCATGTGTTGAATGTCAAGACCTCACTTAACCTTGCTTCCTTGCCCTTTTGCCTTTCCCAACATCTTCTCCAATGTAGATTAGGTACAGAAGCAAAGCTCCTGCTTCTCTTCCAGATATTTCCCTCACCTGTCCCCCATGGATAATGGGATGCAGAGCATTATCTGTATGGTATTAGGAGCTTGCTGCTACCTGAGATTCAGTATTGACAGTTCAACCTCATTTAGTTTCAGTTCCTCCCCAGAAAAATGAACCACAGGATTACGCTGTCTTGTCCAAGACAAGTTTGAGACATGTACACTGAATCCAAAAGGCTGGGGAATATTTCCAGCACTTTCCAATATACACTTTTAGCTCCAGTTGCTCAGGCAGCTCTTGTGGAACAAACAAACAATTAAGAATACTTTCTGCCTCTGGCCTTGTTTGGGAAGGAACTCATAAGAAAGTACTTCAAAACTGTGCAGACACAAAAACTTCTTACCCAGACTCTACCATTCCCAGGCTCCCTGACTTATGGGAATCTCTATCCTTAACCCAGCTATCAAGACAACGCATGGATTGATAAACTACATATGTTATTTGTTTCTAAGCCCCTCAGAAAACGATTTATTATGAAGTGTAAGCAGAGATGAACCACCCAGAGGATACCCAAACTTCTGTTCCAGCACCTTCTCCCAGCTTAGACCTCCCTCTCACTCATCCTTGAGATTCTGGATTTCCTTCTGTCATCTGTCTTCTAGCACCTGGCAACTAATTCCCCTAATAAATCCATTGACAGAAACAATATTTTTCACTCAGGAGGAAAGCAACAGGCAATTACAGATGCAAAACTTGTGACCACAGAGAGCTCAGTGCTCAGCATCAGGGAAATAATCCATTAATGCACCATTCCCTTCCACAGCACGGATTAGAGCTGGAGAGCAAAATCACATTGCAATGGGAAATTTCTTGCAGAGACAGAAAGCTGGCAGAAACTGCCCAGTTTTCCATGGAAAAGGAGCATACTGACACGTGCAGTCATACTGCTCAGCCAGAACTGAGGTTTTGACATACTGCCTCTTTGCCCTTCCATGCTTACCAGAACAGCCAGGCAGAGCATGGCAGCACTGCTAGCAGGAAAAGGCAGGAAAGGAATGGTTGGATTAATCTCCCTTCCCTTTATGATCCTTCAGGGACAGAGCAGGGGAGGACAGAAAAGAGGCTTTAGCCAAATTTCCCCCTGGTACCCCGAAGCCCTGCATTCTCTGTCAAAAGGCACCTAGGAAGCGAAAATAAGCAAAGTCCCCACCTGCACCATCAGGCTGTACAAATGTTAATGTATATTAGCTGCCTGATAAGATTATCACAGCCAGAAATGCTTCCCTCAATTTTCTGATTACCGAGCTTATCTCTCCCAGCTCAGCCCATCACAGATGGCTGGGGATAAAGCAAGCAGGCTAGATAATTCCGGGAATGTAAACAAAAGGTACCGGGACCAGGAGCAGGCTTCAATTCCAACCTACTTCTAGCAGGAAAACACTCATTCTATCTCCTATTTCCTGTGCCCGCTGAAGTCTGGATGTGTTTGCTATTAAGAGTTTTGTGCTGCTTTTCTGAACTGCATGTGGACAGCATTTGAAGATGGAAGGGCTGGTAAGTGTGTTATTTATCACTGGCTAAGCGGGCTCAGCCTTGAGCCCAAGTGCCACCTGCTCACCGGCACAAGGAGATAAATCACAGCCGCCTTCGCAAGGGAAAAGGGGGTACAGAGGGGATGGGTGAGTAATCTGGTGGTGTGATCTGGGGTCTCTGGTGATGGCTGCATAGAGAGGAAAAAATGGACTGTGTTAACGGGAAAAGGAGATAGGAGAGGGAATGAATGCCTGCTCCGGTGAATGCTGCTGTGACAAACATCAGCACAGGTCTTGCCTGATATCCAGTGGTGACAAATCAGTGCCAGGTATGCTCAGTGCTGCTGTGATGAGATTCTGCTGGGTTTCTACGAATGAGCTGTTGAAGGAGAATGAGGAGGGAAGGGCACAGGGACTGGAAGGGTATTTTATGTCACTTCCATGTCTTCCCAGTTTTCAAGCAGCAAAACTACCTGGACTGAAATTTGATGTGCCTGAGGTGAGAAGGGAGAGGAGAGCACAGCGAGATCTTTACAGATGAAACTGGCTCGAGCAGTTACATGCTGACATGGACGTGCTTCCCAGAACAAGGATTAAAACTACTGGATTAAAGCTTTTGGAGAGTCTAAAGTTCAGACCAAGGCACCACTTCGGGCCAGAGCAAATTATTGCCATTAAAACCTCAGTGCTTATAGAAAATAAAATAGCAAGTAAAACTGTTAAGGTATTAAGTATTTCATTAATATGCTGTTTCCTTTAACTGTTAAAGAGTTTCAGTGAGTGAAACATCCCTCATTGACAATCTCAGAGAAGGTACTAAAAATCTTTTTTATGTCTCTTCCAGGGCAAAAAAGAAAGTTAGTTAATATATGATGGAGCTGCATGTTGTTGGGATCCAGTTATGCTTTCCCAAAGTGCAGGCACAGTGCAGGCAAATAAGTCTTTCATGAAACAAGAACTAAGAGAAGAGCAAAAAAGAGCAAGAAATAAGGAGCCCATTGATAAAACCTTCCTCTTCTTTCCAGTTTCACCTCCAGAACAGGATCTCACCAGCCTTTGGTCAGACCTGGCACACTCATACCAGCATAATGCTGCATGAGACACTGCCACTGCTGGCTCCTCCAGGTGCTCCTCCACTCAGTTCTGTGTATGGGGTCAAGGCAGAAAGCAGCGAAAAGAAGAAGAAGCAGCAGAACTGAACGAGGAAAATAAGCAACAGGAAGGCAGGAAGAGGAGAAAAACAAACCCATGCTCTTTCTACATCACTTTCAGCACTATATGGAAGCATAAGAGGTGAGGGGGTTACCCAAAACATTCTCTTTGACACAGCCTCTTGGGCAGCCCTGGGGACCAGGTGATAAATACGAAACAACCCACTGAAGTCGCAAAGTTTGCCCCTTCCTGTCCACTTGCCCACAGGAAGGGATAAGGAGAGGGAAAACCAACCTCCTTTTGCTGTTTTCTCTGCTTAATTCCCACCACATCTCTTTTCCTCAATTAATTCCCAGTCCTAGTCTCTCTGGTTCACCAGATGCCACTTTCACCAGGCTCCTTCTGCTTTTCAGACTAACTCAGTATTGCTGCCTAAATTCTTCCAATTTCTATCAAGAATTTGATACAACTGGTTGACTTAAGCTTTCATCACTTTGAATACCTTAAACCAGAATCCAGAGTGGGGAAAAGGGCTGCTCGAATTACAGCTCACTGGTGTATTCCCCCATTCAGTACCAAACCACCAAGGTCAAACTGGGCTCCTTTTGCTCTTTTTAATGTTTTTAACTTTTTTAACTAATACTGAGGGCAGAAAGGGAACATTGTCCCAAAATGATTGCATTTCTTATCCTGAAAACTGCACAAGTTTTCAGACCTAAGCAGCAGGAGCTTCAGGCTTAATAGCACACAGGATCAGACCCCCAGCAATAACCCCAATGCACAGAACATTTTAGCAACTTGAGAAGAAACCAAGCCACTATTTTTAATACTGTTTTTAAGTTATCCAAGGCTTTTCTGACAATAGAAAAGGGAGAATAATGAGTAATGTCGGAGCCCATGACTTGGGAATAAAACACATGAGCAGGTACTTAGCATGACTATGTGATGTTTTCAGAATATAATGGAGCCTCTTGCTCTCAACCTAAAATGATCCTGTTCATCTCAATCCTTTTCTACTCTCTTTCAGCTCATAAACATGAACTTCAGTCCAGCTTCATTGCTCTCCATAGCAGTGATCAGGACACATCCAGTATATAGAACAATTTTAGAATGTCCATTTCCACAAATATGCAAGTGCCTCAAAAGATGAAATGCAAATGCTTTTTCCAAAAGAAGTACTGTCATCGTTATTTACCAGCCAAGAAAGCGAGGAAGGAAGAACATGGATGGATTTTCATCTAGGGTTTTATTAAATGAAATATCCTTCTTCTTTCAGCCTTATTTTTAAACCTGCCTGGACAGGATTGCGAGATGGTGGTTCTCCTCCAAGTGTTAATGACATAGCAAACACCCACAGCAGTGGAAGAAATATGTTCCTTGCTGGTTCTCTCTTCTGGAGGAATTATTTAAAGATATATGAGATGACAGGAGAAACATAAAATTACGGATTCGTCTCCTGACAGCTCGAAGAAACAGAACTTTACTTTAGGGAGCTGATTTTCTTGGTCTATTTCTAGCATTTGTCATTTATGACCCATATATGTCCCCTCCAAAACAAGCCTCTGCAATGCCACAGACTTGGTGTTCCTCATGCTTGATTCCAGCAGGCTTCAGCCCTGAGGAAGACAAACCTTTCCAAAGCATCCTACTGCCCACAGCCCATCTTCAGAATGAAGCTTACCACAGGTCTTGAACTTCTACCTCAACTCAGTCCCACTTGAAAACTACATTTATGAACTTCCGAACATTATCACATCCTGCCCAAAATCATGACCACATCCTTGTTCAGGTGCCTCATTTTGGGTAGGAAAGGACTCAAAATCGCAAGCATTTCATAGGATTTGCATGTTGAAAAGAAAGGGGCTGGTTTACTCGCCCACATCATGTACACACATTTCACAGAACACATGCTGGAGACATAGAGTTATTATTTGAATAATGAGTGCATTTTAGTGAGGGGCTGATACAGCAATCTTACCCTGATGAAGTGTGTCTGCACGTCATTCAGCATTCTTGGAACTGTGAAAAGCAGGAAATGCTGAATCCATTATAAATGTCTAAAGGTTTAGTTAACAATGGGCTGATGCAACATCCTTTGAAAGGCCTTCCTCAG